AAAAAAAAAAAGAAGAAGAAGAAGAAAAAAAAAGGACAAAAAGAATGAACTCATCTTGTTCGATCGACGTTCTTATCTTTTCACCTACATTTATCCTATCCTATATTTTTATTTTTATATTAGCAAGCAAAAAGAAAAGAAAGAACGCGTTAACCTTGAACCAAACCGTGGTGGCTTGTCGTAAGAAAAAGAAAAACTAAAATAGCAAAAGATATCCATCGATCACACTTGACAAAAAATTTGCTTACTATAAAAAAAAAAAAAGAACACGTTGAACAGCATGATAAAATGGTACGATACTGTTCTTAATTAACCTTAAGAAAAACAAAGTCTCGGCCAATTTTTTTGGTGACAGTGTTAAAATCGATAGATAAAAAAGAAAAAGAAAAAGAAAAGAAAAAACGCTATACGACAGTTGAAAGTAATTTTGTAATAGGTGCTTTTATTTTCTAACCTAAATTCCCTTCACCCATCCTCATCCTCATTCACCAATCATCCTTCCCGTTTATTTTTTTGCTTTTCTATGATGAATATTCCAAGAACAAGAAAACTTGATCATCGATTCTAAAACCCTCAGGGCATTCCCTTTCCTTTTCCCTTTTGTGCCTTTCTTAGTGCCTCCTTTTTTTTCGATCTACGAAAGGAAACTTTTTGCTAAAGGGAGAATATCAGGGAAAATGCATCGGCTGGTGCAAACTTTATGTATCCGGGCGTTGCAGGTGGTCGGATAATTTAGAGCACTTACCGGTGAGTCTAGCGCATACGAAAGTAGGGTCGACGTATAAGAGCGTGTAGATACATCGCGTACCGTGTTTTACGGTTAAACCTAAGTATCGTGAAGAGGGTTGAAGTAGTAGGGAGAGATACGAGATTGGAATGAAGAATATATATATATAAAGAGAATGACACACAGAGGAAAAAAGAGAGTAAGAGAGAGAGAGAGAGAGAGAGAGAGAGAGAGAGAAAATTACACAGAAAGGAACAGAGACAAATAATAGAATAAAAGAATGAAAAAGAAATGCACATACACCTGCACATACACCCACACACAAATGCACGTGCTTTCGCGAAAGGACCAAAGTAGAAAAATGAAAAGAGAGATGTTGCAAAAAAATAGAATGGAAAAGAGATGGAAAGAGACTTTAATTGGTACCGGTACTGGTAGCTAGCTAGCTAGCTAGCTAGCTAGCAAGCAAGCAAGCAAGCAAGCAGGACGTTCTCTTTGGTCCAGTTCACATCGAGTATATACAGGATTCCTCTCCTCTCTGTTACTAAAGGCCCTATCCTATTGTATCCTACCTCTCCCCCTCCTCTCTCTCTCTGTCTCTGTCTCTCTACCTCACCCCTCTTACTAATACATATACATATATAGATACACGCACTAACGCACGTATACAGAAACGTACACCTTCATCGGCATTGTTACTTCCCGGTTCTGTTGTTGTTCGCCCGTATTAGGAGATACATTTACATGAGTAAACACGCCCGTCTCCGGGTCCAGATACAAATTGAGATTAACGCCCAGGTAACATCGCGAATATTCGAATTATTCGGCCGTTATGAGATTAATTAAAGAGGATTAATAAACGTGTGCCGATCGTATACGCGATACTCATATTATATAGTAAACTTTTGCCATTACCTTATTTTTCATTTTTATATATTTTTATTTTTTTTTTTATTTTTTTATTTATTTTTCTTTTTTTTTTTACCCTCTCCCAACTTCCTATGCATCCTTTGGAGAACGATCGATCGTACAAACGAGAATTATTCTACGATAAAGTATTTTAAAACAAATACATTCGATGAAACGATAAGAATGGCTGCTACGTTAGTAAGAAGAGAGAAAGAGACAAGCATATATAATTTATAATTATTTTAATAACATTGCATTTGTGGTAATTATTTTAATTTCTTTTTTTAATGTTATGTAATCTATTGTATTTTAAAATTGTTTAATATATTTATGGTTAAAGTCTTTAACATAGTTTAAGTGAAGACAATTTGACATTTGATTCAATTTACTATTATTTATTAATTATTGTTGAAAATCGTGAAAACATATGCATAAAGATGCATGATTTAAAATTATGGATTTTTTACCAATAAAATTTTAAACTATTTTCTAATCTTTTATTATTTTTACGACGATCATTAAATGTCTAACAATTGAATAATTTCAATTTGGAAGAATTAATTTTTCATATAAGATACAAAATATTATTCTAAAAATGTGCATAGTTAATTAAAAAATATTATACTACTCTCGATACTATGCACTCGTGATATTCTTTCGAAACTTGCTTTTTCGAAGGTATTTATTTTTAACTTGTGATCAGCACACATGTTCTTTTTCAAAAGCTTCCTACTTTTACACTTTTTCTATTTTATCTTTCTCCCTAACTAACAAGTAGCTCATGATCTCGTAGAAACTTTGAGTCTATTGGTATTCTAGTGAAATAAATTTATGCTTCTTCTATCCTAACACAACCAAGACCGTGTCAACGTAGAAAAACAATTTACGTTAGTTTACTCTAACTCCATTATCTTCGAATTTTTATTTAATATCTTATCATATATCGTTTTAATCGTAATCAAAATATTGGAGCCAATATTCCAAAGATTACCTTAATTTTTTTATAAAAATATGTTTGTTCAATTTATCCATTTTTTTAATAAAAAATATAATATATATATATATATATATCTTCCCTCCCCCTT